ACATTGCTGCAATGTATCAGTTAGGTTGATATAGCTGATTTTAACTATTCCATGTTTGTTTATTTAAGAGACCTCTATGGCCATTAGCAGCTCTTTTATTTTAGTTTACTTTAGTTCAAGGGTGTTCACAGGGTATGATAAAAAAATTGATGATGGTGGCTACAGTGGTGCAATTGAAGCAACTGAATTGATCAAATGATGTATTTCACTAATGCATCTGTGTATGACATCTATTACCAACATTCCCACAGTATTGTAGTGTGAGGTTGGAAAACTTCTCTGTGCCCATAACTTTGTCACTAAGCATATTTGAACAATACCAGTTTTTTAAAATTTTGTGTGGCCTCAACAATAATTATTTTAAAATGTAGCTGGCATTGTCAGAAGGCTTAATACGTTGCATTCATCTAGGTCCAGAAATGAACTCTTTTCATTCCTGTAAAGGAAATAAATAGATCAAAGCAGAGACCCATTGTGTTTGTATGTCATTTGGGATTGATGAAATGCTGCTGCAAAGCATAACTGAATATGATTCTGATCACTAATAGCAAACTGAGATTTATAAGTTACTCAGACCTATATTAAACAGTTTTCCATAACATGCAAAACAATGTATGATTAAATAAATGGAACAACAATGCTTCGTAAAGGGATCATTATTAATATTATTGGAAATAAAGCCTGAAGCATTTTATACATTCAACCTTCTCCCATCTTTGATCCTCATAGCAAAGGTCAGTTTACAACCTCTAAAACCATAGAAGTTAACCTCATATTATTGTAGGTCTATTTATGACTTCTTGTACTCGTACAACACAATTTAAGCCTACTGAAAAGTCTAACTTGAAGCCTCTTCAATCAATATACCTAAATGCATATTTGGATGTAAAAATGGGAGTTGTCGGCTTCAAAAAAAAAAAAAAATTGTCAAAAGGCATCTTTTGGGATCTTCATTGACCCCAAATTCTACTTAGTCTTACATGTGTCATATTTTCATATGCAATTTCAAAATGTATGTACTTTGTGTATTCTTGTCCTAATGTTTGGCCTTTGGGGAAGCAGATTTCTGTTGCAAAGTGCAATTTCCTTGTATAGCTATGTATTTGTGTGTGTGTTTGTGTTCTCTTGAGATAAGTGTATTTCAAATTTCTGGAAAGTATACCTTTCTCTGTGCATGTTCAAGAAGTCCAGTATAAAATCCTGCTATAATACACTAACTTTTCATTGTAAGCATTAAACCATATTAACATACTTCAACAGAGTATGGAATATACAGTGGTACCTCTAGTTACGAACTTAATCATGACTCTGGTTGCAACTCGAGTTGGCCTCAAGTCGAGGTAAAGTTTCCCATAAGGTTCA